TCTTTATCCCCCACTTTTGGTATATTCTTTTCTACTTAATATTTGATTAGTTTTCTCATTTGTAGTTTACTAAAAAATTTAATGTAATTGTTTTTACCTAAATTATACTTTTAAATTCATAAAAAATATAAAGAGATAAGCCTTTTATTATTTGTATAAAAAATATATCAATATTTTTAATAATTATTAATTTGTGTTACATAAATGATATTCTTATCTTATGTGTAATATCCTAATAGTATTTTTATATTTTTGTATTTTTTATTATGAAATTATGAGTTCTATTTATTAACTAAAATACATTATAAATTTAATTAGTATATACATTTTTACATTACCGCTTGAAATTTTTTTTCTTAGCATTCTTCATTTATAAATGTTTTTTGTTATAATTTTAGTTATGTGTATATGTACGACTTTTCTTTCATAATTATAATTATAAGTCTTATAATTTTATATTTTTACACGAATTTATATTTTGTTTATTTCTTGTTCCTTGCTTATCTAGTTGTATTATCCATTACTATATAAGAATTTAAATTATATCTTTATATATTTTATTTGTTTCTTGAAATTATTGTTTATGTTTTTGTATTTAGTTTTATCTTATCCATATAGCATATAGCATGACCATATGAATTATTATTCAAAAACTTTCTCATTTCAACAAACAAATTAGTCTTATTATTTTATGTATCTCTACATTTGTCACGACCCGGATTTTTCACCCTCGGGAGTCGTGATGGCGCCTACTAGTAGGAGCTAGGCAAGCCAAATTAATTCACTTCTTTTAGCAATTATCGATCATTTCATAAAATCAAAACGTAATATGATAAAGCGGAAGTCTCAATATATAACTAACTGAAAGAAAATGCGGAAGTTTAACAGAATCCTCTACCCAAGAACTGGAGTCACGAACTCATGAACGTCTAGAGAATGCTAAATACAACGTCTGAATAAAAACAAATTCTGTTTATTCCGATACAAAGGATAACAAACTAAAGTAAAGATAGAAGAGACTCCGGGCTATGCGGATGTCAGCAAGGCTACCTCGAAATCCCTGGACTGAAGTCAGCTCCCAATCAACTACTGCTGTCCAAAAGCTGCTCCGGCTCCGTGATCTGTGCAAAAGAGCATAGAAGTGTAGCATCAGCACAACCGACCCCATGTGCTGGTAAGTGCCTGGCCTAACCCCGGCGAAGTAGTGACGAGGCTAGACAGGACTACCAAACAAACTTGTGCAGCTCAATACATATATTTGCAACGGAAAAGAATACAGAAATTAACCAGTCAAGAGGGGGGGAACATGTTGTAGGGGCTGTAATAGTATAAAATACAAAATCAATAAATAAGGAATGTAACGGCATAACTACAATAGTCAACGAGAGTAATAATCAAAACATGGCACGGAATGTCCCTTCGTAACATTAATAATCAAAATATGGCACGGAATGTCCCTTCGTGCATTAATAATCAAAACATGCACGGAATGTTCCTTCGTGCATTAATAATCAAAACATGGCACGGAATGTTCCTTCGTGCATTAATAATCAAGACATGGCACAGAATGTTCCCTCGTGCATTAATAATCCTCAACATAAATCGTGCACGGCATCAACCTTCGTGCTTTATCACTCTTCCTCACCCAAGCAACAATCACAACCAATGGGGGCGAGGGGATAGACAAACAGTAATAGAAGTCCAGGCAAGGGAAACACAATCAAACAGTTAAATCCCGGCAAGGGATCAACAACAATAACCTTCATATCCTGGCAAGGGAGATAATCACTATACGAATATAGCCCGGCAAGGGAATAATCACAATTCTTTCTCATACTCTTCACATTATATAGAAATCATCAATTTCCCAAGGAAGAATCACAACAAAATTAGAATAAGCACAAATGAGGACTCACGGTCATGCTAGACACCAGTGTATAGATACTCGTCACCATGCCTATACACCGTACTCGACAATTAGCAACTAGCAAACAATACTCTAATCCTATTCCCTCCAGCCAAAGTTAGATCAAACACTTACCTCAAATGCTCCAAACTCAACTCAAGCCTCTAGTATAGCTTTACCCCTCGAATTCACCACCAAACCGCTCGAATCTAGTCACAAATTACTTGAATGGATCAACAAATGCTAATTGAATCAATTTGAATGCATGAAAATGAATTTCTCAAAGTTTTGCTCAAAAATTCCCAAAACGCCCCCGGGCCCACGTGGTCAAAACCCGAGGTTCGAACCAAAGCCCGGTTACCCATTCCCCCACGAGTTCGTATCTATGATTAGTTTTGAAATCGGACCTCAAATTGAGGTCCAAATCCCCAATTTTAAGAAAACCTAAGTTCTACCCAAAATCCCCATTTTCACCCATGAAAATCCTTGATTTTAAGATGAAAACATGTTTAATGATGTTAAAGATTGAAGAAGTTAAGTAAAAGTTGACTTACAAATGATTTGGAGAAGATACGTTTCTTGGAAAATCGCCTATGGAGTGTTTGAGCTTGAAAGAATGAAGAAATGGGTTGAAAATTCGTCTAAGTATGAAAAATTGCAGGCCTCAGATATGGAAAATGCGAACATGGGTTCGCAATTACGAACCCAGCAGGCTTGGGAATTGCGACATTTAAGTTCGCATTTGCTAACTCCAAACCAAATATGCACACAACCTCAAAAACATCCTACGGACTTACTCGTGCGATCAAATTGCCAAAATAACATCGTATACATAGAATCAAGCCTCAAAACTCATGTTTTTCTTTGAAATGTTCATAAAGCATCAAATTTCCATTTCGAGTCCGAAACACATCAAACGACGTCCGTTTTCAACCAAATTTTACAGAAAGCGCTTACATCACATATAAGACTTGTACCGGGCGTCGGAACCAAAATACGAGCCCGATACCATAGTCTTCTGATCAAATTTCTTTTTCATTTTCCTTAATTAATTTCAGAAAACAATTTCACACAAAAATTCATTTCTCGGGCTTGGGATCTCGGAATTCGATTCCGGGCATACGCCCAAGTCCCATATTTTTCTACGGACCCTCCGGGACCGTCAAATCACGGTCCGGGTCCATTTATCCAAAATGTTGACCAAAGTCAACTTTAACCATATTAATATCAAAATTTAGCATTTTTCACACATAATTCATATTTAAGCTTTCCGGCTACGCGCCCGGACTGCGCACACAATTCGAGGCAACCCTAAATGAGGTTTTCGAGGCCTCGGAAGCACGGAATGAATAAGAAAACAGGTGATGACCCTTTGGGTCGTCACAACATTGAAGTTATATTTATATATTTTTCCCTTTTTTTTATAGTAGTTTCCTGAAAAATATATAGATATTTTATTATTTTAAATTGAAACTCAAAAGGCCTAACTAATTCTTGACTAACCTAACTAATTTTATCCTAAATTTTGACACTTGTTGAATCTTGTTGTGATATTTGGCATCATCACATTGATTTGCTTCTCCTATTCTATATAGATAGATAGTTTCCTTAAAAATATATAGATATTTAATTATTTAAATTCAAATTCAAAACGAGTAACAAATTATTAACTAACCTAACTAATTTTATCCTAAATTGACATTTGTTGAATTTTTGTTGTGACACTTGGCATCATCATAGTGATTTGCTTATCATATTCTATATAGATAGATTACGTCATTAATGAGACAAGGGGAAGTTTATTCCAACTAATTAAGAGCTTAGTTGGCCAAGCTATCAAAATTTTCTGATTTTGAAAAGTGCTTTGGCTCTAAAGTATTTTTGGAAAGTTGTAATTTGTTTGGCCAATTCATTTGAAAAATGCTTTTTGAAATTTTTGATAAGCAAGTTGCGTTTGGCCAATCTCTCATAAATTACTTTTGAGTCAATATTATTTAAAAGAGAAAAATATATAAATAATTGTTAATATAAAATAATTTAATTAATATTTTATTTTTAATTAAGATATAAAATATAAAATAAAAATATATATTAAATTTTTTAATCAATACAGAATATAGTCGAAAGCTAGGGAAGCGAATGGGATTAGATACCCCCGTAGTCCTAGTTGTAAACAATGGATACTAGGCGTTGTGCGTATCGACCCGTGCAGTGTCGTAGCTAACGCGTTAAGTATCCCGCCTGGGGAGTACGGTCGCAAGAATGAAACTCAAAGGAATTGACGGCGCAATAATTCAACAAGGGTGATCCTATTACAGGAATAGCGTCAGGGACACTTGTTACTATTTTCACTGCCCAATAACCAACTCCCAAGGTAAGGAATAACCAGTTACACCAAAAGATGCGGTTAATACGGCCAGAACCACACTTGTAACCCAAGTCAATTCGCGAGATTTTTTAAATCTGTCGTTTATCTAAAGCAGTAATATTGAGTGTCCGATATTATTTATTGTTTACGTAATAATTTAAATATATTAAAATACAATCATTTAATATAAATTGAAAATATGCTTCAAAATTCCTATATAAGAAAAAGAGATGTATTGATATTAGAGAGACTATTTTAAAAAATAAAAAATAGAAGAAGGAAAATAAAAATACGATAAAAATAGAATAAATAAAAAAGACGAAAAGGATAGTAGGAATAAAAAGAAAAAGTTAAACTAATAAAGAATAATTTAAAAAATACAAAATTTATATTACGAATACTTTTGTTTTAAAGAAATTAATTTTCTTCTTAGAAGAAGCTCTTCTTACCAAACCAGAAAAACTAATTTTGCTTTTGTTGCTGTACAAAAACACTTATACATTTTGGCCAAACACATACCAAAAGCTTGGCCAAACAAGCTGTAATTTAGGTCGGTGACACAATAAAAGTAAATGCGTCGTAAGATCAAAAGCCTTGACAAGGACAACATCCCAACAGGACGGTCCATACCATGTGAAATACGCATTTGACGTCTTTCGAAATGCGGGCAAACAAATAGTAGATAATTAGGTTGTGGGATTATTCAATAGTCCTAAACTTCCACGCAGAGGATTCACTTGCTTTCATGTGTTATATACTCTACATCTACGTGGTCCTGTCATTTCATGACTTCACAAGTTTGAGTTTGGTGAAAGCAAAGGTAATTAGCCGAATTCTAAAAGAAAGAATTGAAAGAGGTACATAAAGGAATTAAATAGAGAACTCATCGAATCAATAATAATTACTTCTACTATATCAAGATGGCAGTGGCAGTTCCCTCATGTTCACATCTTAGCGTAAATAACTTGTTGCAGAGAGGCAGAAGTAGAGATTTGCAATATTACAGAGGGAGGAATTTGGCTTTGAGTGCAACAAAAAAGCAAAAATATTCAAGCTTTACCATAAACGCGCAGCAGACATACACTTCACAAGTCACCATTCTAGCTGATATGCCCCTCTATGAATCCCCTCATGTACGCACTGCACTCAGTTCTTTATTCTTTTCTTGGTATGATTTATGTGTTCAGAACCTAGAGTTAATTATCAGTTCAAAATGAATGTGTGATCTTATTACACGCATATCTTTTTTTACACGTGTATATATAATTCGATTAGAAAACAATAATCTACTATAGATCTGCATGCGCGTGCTGATAGATATATATATATATATATATTGTAGTAGTAAAGCAGTACGTACGTAGTATTACCTGAATAATGGGTGGCTGCAGGCTTCTTTCGACAGGTACATGGAGGACAAGCCCAGAGTTTTCAAAGCCATATTTCCAGAGAACAGAGGAACCCAACGTGTTAACGAGGTAATTAAATACTACTACTAGTACTACTCTTCTTTTTAGTTAGCACGTAATTATATTTTGGTTCATATCTACTAAAAACATGATTTATTACTCTTCCCATATGATAGTTACAAAGCTAATTAACATACAAACTGCCTTTCTTGTACTTGAATCTTGTTTTCAGCTTGATATATATCGAGAATTTATTCGTTAATGTGAAATTAAAAAAAAAAAAAAAACTTCTATATACTATGTGCTATACTAAAACAAATATATATGGTGCAGGAGGAATGGAGAATCCGAATGGAACCAATAGCCTTTTTATTCCTCACAGCCTGGCCTGTTGTTAATATGAGAATTCGATACAAAACTAAAGGAAAAGAATACCCTTCTGGCGTTCCCACCAATACCTCTACTGTTCTCGAGCTGAAAATTGTAAGTACATATATACTTCGAATTGCATATACTCGATCGAGAATCTAAATTTTATCTTTGTAAGTACATGATTAGAATAGGAGCCTTGACGTAACTGGTAAAGTTGCTGCCATGTGGCCAGAAAGTCACGGGTTCAAGTCGTGGAAACAGCCTATTAAATGCAAGATAAGACTGCGTACAATAGACCCTTGTGGTCTGGTCCTTCCCCGGACTCCGTGCATAGCGGGAGCTTAGTGCACGAGGCTGCCCTTTTTTAAGTACATAATTACTTGTGGTTAATTTGCTATATATGCAGATAAAATGGGATCTAGAAGGGTTAACAGAGGGGAAAAATAAACCATCAGAATTCAGGATTAATATGGAAGGAGCACTTTACCCAGATAGAAGAGGAGCAAGAAGCAGGATCAAAGGTCATTTCAATATGAGCCTTAGCTTCGCTCCGCCTCCTATGCTTGCTTTGGTTCCTCCACATGTTCATCAACATGTTACTCAATCGGTTAGAAACTACAATTTTCAACTACTTATAGTAGAATTTTACACCATGCATAAAATAATTCTACTTCGAAAATTGCTTTACGTCATCGATTGAAATTGACACGTGATATCTTAGTACTATTTTTTTACAAGAATTAACCTAAACTGAGGCGAATGGAGGATTTTAAGTTTATGGGTTCCTGTCGCAATCTCAAAATAATATACAATAATAACTGGGTTCACAAATACATGTTTATAGATATTTAATAATTTTTTTAACAAAAATACAGGGTCTATGCAAAAGTACCTGGGTTCCCGAGAACCCATATATTATACTCTAGATCCGCCGCTGAACCTAAATAATCGCTCATCCAACCACTTAAAATAAGAATAGACGACAGATGTATAATATATGTATAATATATGTACTGTAATTCATAGTATATAATATGAGTATAAGTAAACAGAGAATCCATCTGCCTATTTGGGTAAAGATCCCTTTTTTTTTAATCTCTGAAATTTTTGGACGCTGCTTAGAAGATAAAAGGTCTTCCTGTATTTTAGAACATTAATTTAGTAAGGACTACTAGCAAGTGATCTTTTTAACTTTGCCTTGTATATTGCTATAACAGGTTATGAATAATATGGCGGAGAGTATGCAGCATAAAGTAAGAGATAATCTGCTCGCCGATTACACTAAATTCAAGAAGGAAAACTACAAAAATATTCCGCCTCCACAATAAGTTAGACTTTTCATTGAAGGACAAGACTGAAAATAAGATAAACACCTAGTTCGATGTGAATTTTCCTTTTCGTGGCCTTTTGTATTTATTCAACTAATCAAGCTAACAATAAACATTATTGGTGTATACTTTGTTAATTAGTGATATCGTGTACGCAAAGGCAAGCACGAAGTAAGATTACTACTTACAAGCACACTCGTCTCCTCATTTTTCGTCTTTTTAAGGAAAGTGATTATACAGTGGGGAAAGAACTAGTACTATTAATAAAATGTTTATAAGTGGGGAAAGGGAATATATAGTGCGGAAAGAATTACTATAACCAGGGACGGCTCAATGGATCTGTAGCGTAAAACGAAATTATATTGAGAGGCACTTAAATTTATTTTATAAAATATTTACACTAACAACAAAATTTATTTTCTGAATTATAAATTAATCATTTAAGATAAAAATAAGCAAATTTCAAAAAAAAAAAAGGGGGGGGGGGGGGGGGGGGGAGAAGAGGTCAAAAGATAAAGTGGTGGACTATCATATGTAGAGGACCACAAATTTTTATTTGGCTATCATCACAAACAAGAAAAAGAAATAAACGTACATAATGTAATAGCTTAAGTTTTGAGAATTAACGGTGTCAAAAATATTTACTCCTTATGATCAATTTAAACGATAATTATAGTTCATTCTACTAAGTAGCACTTATTGGTGAACATCTAAAATAAATTATAAATTACCTAATATAATATGTCGAATTACATTAAAAGAAAATCGGTGCTTAAATGCTTGTGTTCATGCAGATTGAGAGAACATTGTAAAAGAAATTCATTATGTTGTCGATATATATAACTTAATTCCTATATAAAAAAGATAAAATTAAAATTGAGGACTGAAGCAAATAAACTAATTAATCAGTGAAGAAAATTATCATAATTTATGAATTCTTTGATATAAAATAACCTCAATCAAATAACAAAAAATATACTGTAACACTTTCTTAATACTAACTATTTATATAATAATAATAATAATAATAATAATAATAATAATAATAATAATAATAATAAGAAGAAGAAGAAGAAGAAGAAGAAGAATAATAATTTAAATTTTGGAGGCCTAAGGCAACGCCCTCACTACCAAGCCTTTAGAGCCGCCCCTGACTATAACCGAGGAACTATCGAAAACGGAGTTTCTGTGCTCCCAGAATATGGTTGTATTCATCTTACCCTTCTAAACCTTACTTGTTGGAATTCACTGGATTTATTGTTGTATGGGTCAAAAATTGACCGAGAAAATTAGGTATGAAGAAGTGACTATCATGACGACGGTAACTCATTATAGGTGGTCTGGTCGAGGTCGAACAGTGGTTAACAAGAATGAGCCGCTGTGTGGCTCATTTGTGCCGAAGTCGAGTAGCGGGAACAGAATGAGCCTCGGCATGGATCCACATCTCGTATAAGTGCCGCGAAACGTCAGGGAAAGCAAATGTATGAGAGGAGGACGGTCGAGCTAACAGTCGCGCCTTCTCGGCCTCAAGAGCGGCAAATTGATCACTAAGGCTCAAAATATCTCTCTTGAGCCCACCAATTATCTCTTCAAGACGTGCCTCCCTTAGCACGGTCGTTTCCGCTTCACTCACCCGTTCAGATCTAAGCACGCGAATGACCTCCTCTAATGTCGCCACCTACGCCAAAGTCGTCATCCTGGCCTCCTCGGCCTTCTCCATCTCTGTCACTATCTCGATCAACTTGTCACTCAAACCGTTAGCTCTGGTCGAGCTCTGCTCAAGCTCAGCCTGCAAAGATGCCACTTGATCTTGAAGGTCGACACACTAAGACACGACCCCTTTGCTCACCTCGAGCTCATCCTCCTTTACTCTAAGCAATCCCTCGATCTCACTGCATCTGCCGATGACCCTTACGAGCTCATCATCCTTTTGCCCCAACTCATCTCTAAGGGACTGGAAATTACCATCCGCACCAAACCGGCCACGCATCGCACGGTACTTGTCACGATACCGATGATACTTCAAAACCATCTTCTTGAAAACCGCCTTCCGCTTCTCCTCTCGGCGGGCACTCTCTATCCCCAAAATAAGAGTCTAAAGAGAAAAAAAGCCAAGAAGAGTCGGTAAGAATAAAAAGGAGAAAAGATGTGAGGTACGAGAACAAAAACAAGGATACCAACTCACCCGCAAAGCCATTCCAGATACGCTCAACGACAGATCGGCGTCCTTAAAAGACTGTAGAGTCTTGTTCTCGGTGCCAGAGCAAAGAGGGACCACGCTCTCTGTGTTGGTCAATAGGCTGGAGTCGAAAGGATGACGATCGAATGAGAAGACCCATCCGTTCCCACCTCTACCCGAGTAAACTCCTCATCGAACATATTCTCCTCTTCGGGGTCTACGTCAGAACCGGATTTAGAATCATCTACGATCACACCTTTTTCCCTCTCCACGGCAGAGGAAGGAATGTCGACCGGGTCGGACATCGATGGACTCCTCGGTGCGACCGTGGCTACCTCTGGTAAGGGAGAAATCTCTGCGTCTGGAACCGAAATCTCAGCATTCGAAGCCACGCCGACCTCAAGTACAGGCACGATCAGCTCGCGCTCACCCTTCGTTGGTCGTTCGCCCCCTGCTACCTAGCCGCCAACCTCTACTCGCCGCCTTTCTGACGGAAGCGCTTCCTCATCGCTCGGCGATGACTCGTCTACCAAATGCAGTAAAGAAGAAGTCGGAATCCCCGTTGATGGGGCAGATGCACCAGGCCGACACGGAGCTGGGACCTTAGAAGAAACAGCAGTCTGTGCAGACTCGCCTACAGTCACAGCGGATCAAGACCCGGTCGTGGTACCCAATTAACGAAAAACAGGGGTGGGAGCCTTCGCTTTCTTCGGAACCCTTCGACCTAACAGCAAGGAAAAACTACGTAAGTGAAAAAGATAAACGATATCAAGGTCGAAGCGACTAAATATCGAAACTTGACTTACAGATCGAAAAAGGTTTACACCCAAATTCTTGTTAAATGGTGACCACTTACGGATCCCCACCATGTGGGGTAAAATTTGAGCCACCCAATCGCGAATATCGGCGACCAACGTGGGAGGCACCTTCTCGGCTGCACCACAAAAGAATGATTAAGTCGCCAAAGGAAGACAACAAATGATCAGTTAGCAAAAATACTTACGGGCGAAGTTCCACTCCTCGGGGAATCTGCTAGGGTTCGCCACCACGTGCTCAGTTTTGACGTAAAAAAAGTTGACCCAAATTTTACGATTGGTCTTATCGTCCATTTTCACCACCAGTCCCTTGTACCCACGATGGCGAAGATGTATCATCATGCCCCGATGAAAGCTTGGTGCGAAAAGATGTAGCAAATGGCGAATAGAAATTCCACGGTTGGCCAACTCCGCGTACTTTATCAACATAATGAAAAGTTTATAAATACAGGGAAAGAGCTAGGCAAGACAGATACTGTAATAGCAGCAAAATCCTTCGCTAATGGAGGAAGAGGAAGAGAATAACCCGCTTGAAACGGGTACACATAAAAAACGCAATACCCGGGATGATGAATATGGATCACATCGCTCCCAGCTGGGATCAGATCGATGTGAGCTGGGATGTCGTACTTGGCCCTAGCGCGGCAAGATGGGCCGCTCCCATTTCAGACTTTACGGGCTTAGGATCATCCGCAGGTGAATTCGAGAAATCCAACCTGGCCCTGTCATTACGGGGAACGATCTCCTCCACTGTGGGGAAGCTATCGTCCTCTGTAACAATGGCCTTCCCTTCATCACGAGCGGGCATGGCCACTGACAGTGGGTTCGGTCTAAGAATCTCCTCGGAATTGGAGGATGCACTAGCCATTCTTATGACTGTATATAAGCGAAAGGATCGAAAGTGAAAAAGAAATAGCAATGGCGAAAGTTGCAGAAGGTGGAAGCTGAGAAAGAACAAGAGAGGAAGATATGCAAGTTCTAGAGACTGAAAGGTGTAAAGTTTCGTTCAAAAGGTTCACCCTTTATTTATAGGGAACACCGGCACACAAATCGAGAAAAGTAACCGTCAAACGCTCGAAACGACAGGGGCACAGGAAACGATGCAACGTATCGGGAAGATGCGTAATTATGACGCATGAGGCTATGACATCATTCTGAACTAGCATCATTAAGCACAGGTCTCAAAGCGTCCCGTCACCCTCTCGGCCACGACTACCACTACTCGACCTCCCCATCCAAATTTCTCAATCCTGCTGCTAGTAAAGTCCACTCATCAAGGCCGATCAAAAGATGACCTCGATAAGCGGAGGGACTAACTGTATGGGTCAAAATTCGACCGAGGAAATTTGGTATGAAGAAGTGACTATCATGACGACGGTAACTCATTATAGGCGGTCTGGTCGAGGTCGAACAGTGGTTAACAAGAATGAGCCGTCGTATGGCTCATCTGGCCGAAGTCGAGTAGCGGAAACAGAAATAATGGCTAGTATGGCCTTGGGACTTTCAAAAGGAATATTTCCTTGAATATTCTCTCTGTTGTACGTTTAGGATTTTTTTGGAAATATCCCACACAGCGATATATAGTAAGAGAGATAGAGAGAAGAGGAGGTGGGACGGGGGGGGGGGGGATTTTTCGGATTTTTGAGAAGAACATTTGTAAAAGGATAAGCACTCAGAAAATACAAAGAAGTACTTTTTGTAGAGATTCCACCTTTTTGTGAACTATTCTATTGTTATTTCCATCAGATCTAAGAAAGTGTGTAATATTTTCTAACACTCGCGTCATTCTTCATTGTCAGGGGAAAGAATCTTTCACCCTCTTCAATATTGGGTGAATCTTCTCCTCTATTTATATTTATTGTTATTTAATGTTATTTAATGCATGATCTTTTTACATATTATTATATCCGGTCATAATCACTGCCAACATTCACGTTCAACTACATCTTCCGTTTATGTTATCCGTCTCAGATCTACAATTAATTATCCTGAACTAGGATTTACCCGCAAATTGGTTTAACAAAAAGGTGTTATAATTTTGGTCAAACAATTGTTGTTATTGTTCTTTATCAGTCAAAAATTATTGTTGATTTTGATCATTTCACACTAAAGTTTCAATCAGATAAAATCTTTTATAATTTTAGAATGAAACTCTTTTCCCATCGTATTTTAATTTGAGCAATTTCGTCTATGTAGTTA